GCATTTCGCTGATGTTCCCGCGGGAAAGGCTATGCTAGGGCGTGTGGTCGACGCGTTGGGAGTACCTATTGATGGAATAGGGGCTCTAAGCGATCACGAGCGAAGACGTGTCGAAGTGAAAGCCCCAGGGATTATTGAACGTAAATCTGTGCACGAGCCTATGCAAACAGGGTTAAAAGCGGTAGATAGCTTGGTTCCTATAGGCCGTGGTCAACGAAAACTTATAATCGGGGACCGACAAACTAGAAAAACTGCTATTGCTATCGATACCATATTAAAACAAAAGCAAATGAACTCAAGGGCCACCTCTGAGAGTGAGACATTGTATTGTGTCTATGTAGCGATTGGACAGAAACGCTCAACTGTGGCACAATTAGTTCATATTCTTTCAGAAGCGAATGCTTTGGAATATTCCATTCTTGTAGCAGCCACCTCTTCGGATCCTGCTCCTCTGCAATTTCTGGCCCCATATTCTCGGTGTGCTTTCCCTTTTGTGTCGTGCTAGCCGTTGGAAGGCCTTTGCCATCTAATGCCATTACCGCTTCTGTATGAGAGAAAGTCCCTTCAACGAACCAGTCACTTTAGTGGCAAATTCAGTAAGATTCTCATTGGGTCAATGTCCCACCATACGGAAAGCAGGAAGGGGAGGTCATTACTGATAGTCTTATCCAGACGTAGGACAGATAAGCCCAAGGCATCATTGAGATAGTACGGCTCCCCTTCACCCTTCACTTCAGGCCTGTCCTAAACATAGAATGGCACGACTCATAGAGCTATGGGTCACCTAGGAAAGAGGAAGACTAGAAGTTCAAGGCAGCCAGGTAAGGAGCTAGGAATCTGTGGGCCAACAGTAGAACCTGTAAATCAAGAATGAATGTTTCGTCTCTAACTTCACAAACCCTATAAACCAAAACTAGCGACTTGACGTTCATCCTTACTATGCACCTTAAAATTTTCATCTTTACATAGTAACTTTAGGTAGGTCAATATTAGTTACAAGGGAGTTTATGTAATTATTGAAGAGATATGTGACAATTATAATTTCTTCAATTTTTATTAGACAAAATGCAAATATATGTATTGACTTTGATCTACTCCTTATTATAATGAAAATTGAAATGTATGTCCCTTCGAGCTCCAAACATGCAGATTCAAAATTGTTTAATTATTGTTGTGATATGCCTAACACCGTGGATAGAAAATTAACGGCAAGACAAATAGAAAAAATAATAATAATACATACAAAGCATACAATAATTTATTTGGTTTGACTTTTTAACTTTAGTCTATGAGTGAAATTAAATGAAGAATTTTAATAACAAAACGGAATATATAAAATTTAGTGAAAACTTTCAAACCCAAATCCTAAATACATCGATATTTCTCATACTCTTATTGTTAGTGAAGAATAAAAATCAGAATCTACTATCAGAAAATTGATTTTTCGGTGAAATTAGAATGTAAGTGCAATATTACCCGAATCGAAATCTATATTGGTGAATGAATTGACAGAATAAAGCGTACAAATGACAGAAATCCATCTCCATCTAAAGGCTTTACACGTGAGTTATGTGAATCGTTATTAGCACAGACTTATTTCATTAATTCATAGCTTAAAATTATGTAATTAGTCAAGAAGTTGGAAAACTGAAAGTCAAAGATGAAAATCGAAGAAGGTGCAGTTAATATGCACAGATTAAGGGAAATGACAGTTGGGAAAGATGATATGATTTTTCAATTGAATTCATCACAAAGCACATGGGATTACATTAAATTAGAATATTAATTAGATTGTTCGTTTTACACTTGTTTTCAGTTCAGAAGCAGACATAAAGGGCCCCCATCTTGTCTTGACTAGCAAAAACCTGTCAATCTTTCTTTCAACTATCACAACGTTTATAATTTAATTAGATGGAAAGCCGGTATGTTTATAGATTTTTTTTTTTTTTTATATTATTGTTTTTTGTGTTTTAAATATATATTTTCTGTATTAAAGTTTATTTTTTTATTGAATTCATAATTAAAGAAATAAATAAAAAAATATTATATACCAAATTAATAGTAATAAATTTTAAATATATATATCTAATGTGTGTGTGAAGAGTTATTTTAATTATTGTTATTTTAAAGGCAATAAATAATAAAAATATTATATACAAAATAATTAAGATTAAATTTATACAAATTTTAAGTAATAATTAAAGAAATAAATATTAAAAATATTATATATACACAAGGCTTATGCTACGACACTTTTATTATTAATGACTTACTAGCTATAAACAGTAGGTGAAAATCTTGGCTTGACCTTCTTCTTCTAGAGAGAGAGTCAATATGAGGTCTCCTTGCCTTCCACTCATGAGCAGCACAAAATCCCATCTGCAAGTTTTTGAAACCTAAATGAAGTTAGAATTACACTGAGGTATTTGAAAATGCAATCATAAATTCCTCGTCTGGATGAAGGATTTCAAGAGTTTGGATATAACACTTGCAAGCAACTCAGCAGTGCAAACCATGTCAATGACGTAATAAGTTTAGTCGGACTGCACCCAACAACCACAACCACAACCAATATGAGGTTTTAAACAACATTGAGGCAAAACTAAGAAACAAACAAATTGCAAGAAATAACAAAAATAAAGTAAACCTCCTGAAATATGCAGTCAAGTATACAATAGGATTCAGAAGAGCCCGACTGGTCTCGAGTTCTCGCCCCACAAGGCAAAGCAGATGGGAAATGATGCAGAAAAGAGCCATTCCGCAGCCTACTAACTGTTGTTCCATGCATCTTTTTCCAGCTGGCCTTGCCAATACATACCTACCAATAAAACCCAAAATCACATTAAACAAAAAAAAAATAAATAAAAAAATTAGTGAATATTTGAAAATTCAATTATAACAAAACCACTTTGTACACCTTGCTTAAATTTAATACAAAAATTACAGAGTCATAAACAAAGGAGATTTTAAAGCAAAATTAAATATTGCTTTAACATTTAGCCATCTTAGGTCATGTGAAACTAAATAAATGAATATCTCTTTCTTCTAAAAATCAAAGCAAATTATCAAAAACAGAGAACAATTTACAAACTATTAGTCTCACTTAAAGAAAAATCACCTCCTCCACATAAGTGGTGTGATCAATTAATAGTGAGCTGAACTGATGTTAAGTTATTTAAACTGTCGATTTCCCCATCATCAAATGCTTCAAGATCATGCATAGTTTCCTCCTTGATTCTTTCTAAGTCCTTCCGCGCTCCCATAAACAAATCATCATATCTAACACATTTTCATGCATACTCAATCAATTCCATGAATCATTAATTCACATTTGTTACTATATGAAGCTGCAAAGCGAACAGAGCCCAGCGGTCCGGTAACAGTAATTGTGCCTAGGCAATTTCAGTGAAACTTTGGACTGTGGGAAGGGAGATGGGAATAGAGAGATAATTTGCAATATACATGAAGGACATAAACATATATAAATCTATTAGAAGCCAACATTTTTTTAAATAAGTTTTTCTAAAATTTTGGAATTGATTGAAGACATATACCAAAAGATAATCAGTTCATAATTTTTCTCCTCTTACATTATTTAATGGTCAGTGCATTGTAGTAATTGGTTTATCTAGAATTTGTCCTATAGATCTGCAATAGAATTGTTAAAAAAAATCACTAAATCTGTTACCCTGCTCACCTGGCTGATACGGCCGATCAGTAGTAAACACAACTCCTTGAGATGAATTATCATAATCCAAAAATGTCTCCACCTAGACCAGCAAAATGCAAATGTAACTCAGTTAGAAAACTAAGCACATTCATTACAGAAGCTATTTTAAAATAATCTATGAACCTCACAACTATGTTTGGGCATATTTGCCCAGGGAACCAAGGCAAACCTTCCATCCATTGAGGGAAATCGAACCTGTATATAAAAGAAATGAGAAGTCAAAATCATCCACTTTCTGTAATAACTTTTGATTTCTGTACTCATATGAAACCTCTAAGTTTAGTTCAATGAAATGAAATTTAATAAAGAAAAGATGCGAGTCAAAGACCGAAAAAGTTAAAGATATGCACAATACAGAGTACAACTAAAACACCTTGCAATTACCACTATTTATATCATTTTCCTGTTAAATTTAAGGTACGCCTATCTGTATCCATATTAAGAATTTAGACCCACAATTACCAAATCTTGACGGTTTATTTCCTGAAAGGTTATTATTCACAATTCCACATGTTTATATAGAACTAATTCTTTTCAAACAACATTCTGGGGACAAGTTCTTGTTAGATGACAATTCTGCGTATTCATGGCTAAAAGAATCAACATCTTTCGCATGAAGCATGATATATAAAGTGAACCAGGCAACAAAGTAACCGTGACAGCATACATAATTTTGCTTACCAAGCGTGAGAAAAGAATACCAAATGACCATTTGAATGTTTCTATATTGAATATCTGCAATTTAAAAGGGTACAAAATCAAATAAGAGGCATTCAAAAAATAACAGTAGTATACAAGTATTTATGGAACTCCAGATACTTCCAGTACAGAATGTCGTATCATCCATCATAAATTTAAACTAAAAAATATATTTATTACATCATGGTATTTGATGTCTCGAGGAAAAACAGGGAAATAAGGTAGACTGTAATAAGATAAGATGATTAGATCAGCTTGGAAGGCACACCACTGATTTGCAGATTGGTGGCGACCAAACCAGCAATTCTCATTGGAAACATATCGTATTTTGTTGATGCTTAATTTTGACACTAACGACCTCGCATGTGCAAAGTGTTAAGTAGGTCTTAGAAATTACACGTGATTAATATGAAATTTGGAGTTAGGTCATAGTAGCATGCAAAGACTTAATAATAAATGAGACAGTAAGAGTTTTATAGTGGTTCGGATGCTTGAAGCGATTCCTTCGTCCACTATTTCTTTTATATAAATGTGTTACAAGAGGTCGTATACAGCAAACAGCGAACAAGGGTACAAGGACTGTGTATTCAAAAAGAATATTAAGCCAGTCTCTTTCCCGTGGGTTGTCTTTGCTATTTTAGATTATGAAAATCAGAGATCCCGATTTTGCGAGGGGGGAAGTCCTCTATTTATAGCTATTGAATTCGAGGTGATGATTACAAGTCTACAAGTGGGTAGGTGTCGTGTAAGTCATACCTTGCATCTCATTGATTGATCACTTAGGAGATATTCTAAAATTATTTGGGGTTTGGACAGGTGTGTGGTCCTCATTCACTCATAGACAAAACCTGAATCTGCTGGCTTGGTGACAGCCGTATTCTTTTTGTCTTGGGGCGACGTGTCAGCTCTTGGACGGCGCAAAGCCTTCCTAAACTTTGATTGATGCTTGCTGATGTGGGCTTACGTCAGCCCTGGATTTTTAGGCATAACATATTTGATACACATTTTCACCAAATAGCGAACGGGGAATCCCATCCTGCCTGTCACCACGCACCATTTCTCCTCCACCCCCAACATCACGACTACACCATGCCTAACCAAATCATAGTCATCAAACTATTCTTCATCAAAAAAGAAAAAAAAAAAAAAATTCAAGTAACCACATTTGCTTACCAATTGGATCTTGAAATTCAGGATTTGAGGCCCCAAAATCTGGAGGTATGCTCCTGACAATGGAATTCTAGATGCAACTGGAGAATCTTTTTATGGATCTGGAAATGGAGAGACAATGAGGAGAGGCGGCTGTTCGTTGGTGAGTGGTGGTGGTACTAAGTGATGTTGAATGAAATTAGAGAGATGAGCCGTGTAATGAATAAGATGAATAGAGAAGAAGATGAAGAGGAAACGTAACATTAATTTGAAGGTGAACAGTTCGTAGAATATGAAAAGATTTAACTTTTAATTTGAAGGTGAACGGTTGTAATATGAACAGATTTAACTTTTAATTACATTCACTATCCATCAACCAATCAAATCTTGGCACATTAATTATAGACACTTACAATAATTATGGAGCTCTTAAGATCCTATATGGCATCCTACGTGGAATCCAAATGGAAATCAATAGCAAGGGTGGGTTTCAAAATGATATAGATATATAGATTTTCGGACCTCTAACTTACTCAAATGCATTCTTTAATGTGTCCTCTATCATCATATAATTTTTTATTAACATTTCTGTCCTTTTAGGTGTCATCACCTATGCTGCAATTTACCAAGATGAAAGCTACAACCAGGACAAGTGAATCCGGCTGCTACTGGTATGACGTCTGGAAATTTTGTTTAAAAACTTTACTGTGCAATGGTTATGATAACGGCAAGGTTAAAATTCAAATTCTTCACTGTGCAACGGTTCTGAACAAACGTTAGTTCTCTTAAGTCCAATGACATCGTTTCACTACACTGTGAAAGTAAAAAGTTTTAACAAATTCAGATCAAGCTACAGGGTTTTGCATCTTCTTCTTACTGTCCTTAATTAGAAAAAGCACAGATCCTATGGTCTAAAAATATTCATTTTGTGTTTGTTTTGTGAGTGTTGAACAACTAAGATTTTTTTACTGAAGCAAGTCACATGGATTGCCACCTCAGTAAATGCAGTTTTTAAGATTAAAACTGCTGGGTTTCGTCTGAAGTTCATCATTTTGTAATCTTCAAATCAACAGTTAAGATGTTGTAATTTTGTGTTTCTTTGTAAATCATTGGTGTTTCTTTGCTGGAGTTACACGAATTGCCAANTTTTTTGGTTTTTTTTCCGTATCCAGGTTGTATATGGGGATTTGAACTTGAGACTTTTGTCTTTGATACCATATTAAGTTGTCATCCCACTTAAAAGTTTAAGCTTGGTATATACGACAGGGAGTGTTTAAAATTTCCGTTGTTATTGGATGGATCCATGTAGGAGGCTTTCTTTTATCAAATATTTTAGAATCAAAGACAAAGTTTACCTAATTATTATGTAATACATTTCTTTCTATAATATTAAAGATTTCATGTTGATATAACAGTGGAATCTTATTTCATCACTCTTTCCACATGCCTTTCCTCTATCTGTTTGACTTTCAATTGAACTTGACCCTAGCTAGCTAGTGATTTAAGGATAATCTTTCTTTTAAACAGTTAGATTGGAATATGCGTACAAGACAAACACATTATGAAGGTAAACAACTATATATATACAATGACGGAGCCAGCATGGGCCAGGGTTTCTCATTTAATTACAGATTAAAGAAATACTAGAATATGTTAATTAAAATGAGTATGTTAAAAGGCCACATCATGTTAGAGGACACTGGACAAATATAAAACGACATGTAGTATAGCTGTAGTTTAATTTGTATATAAGCTGCTACTTTATTTTCTTTTCCTTTATATATTTCTTTACTTTACAGATGGCATTCATTGATTTGTATAGACGGTTAGTTTGTTACATTTGTTAACTGTATATAGCATAGCCTTGGGCTACTGTACTCGATATTCAGAAAGGGGAATAACAGTATTTCATCTTCTCCATCGCTCTTGACCTCTCTACTCTGGTTTCATTCTTCTTGGTGCATTTTCTGCACTTTCTTTTTGTTCTGTTACATGGTATCAGAGCACCTTGAGAGGAATCATCGATGGAAAACTTTGGACTTTCAACCCCTCCTGATTCGCCCAAATCTGTAAACCTCAACACCTCTAATCCATACCTTAACCTTGCCGATCCCACCAATCCTTTCCGGCTTGACCACAGCGACAGTCCCGCCGTCACTTTGGTTCCCGATTTACTCACCACCGATAACTATCCCACCTGGTCTAGAGCCATGCGCCGAGCCCTTCGAGCCAAGAATAAACTTGGTTTCATTTCTGGTGCTCTTGTCAAACCTTCTTCCCCCACCGATCCTTTACTCGATTTGTGGGAGAGATGCAACGACATGGTGGTTTCTTGGCTTCAAAATTTCATCACCTCTTCCCTCAAATCTAGCGTGGTGTTTGTTGATAATGCTGCCGATATTTGGCAAGATCTCCAGGATCGTTTCTCTCAACAAAATGGTCCTCGGATTTTCCAGTTGAAGAAGGCGTTGGCTAGTTTTCTTCAAGAACACGATCCGGTCAGTGTTTACTACGGTAAGCTAAAGTCCATTTGGGATGAACTTTCCATTTATGATCCTTTACCAATTTGTACTTGTGGCACCTCAAAAACCTTCACGAATCGACACCAGAGGGACTCTGTCCTTCAATTTCTGATGGGGTTGAATGATTCCTATTCCCCCATCAGTGATCAAATAATGTTGATGGATCCCATTCCTCCAGTCACTAAGGTGTTTTCTCTAATTCAACAACAAAAGAAACACCATCAATTGATCCCTAGCTTTTCCCCTACTGAAACACTTGCCCTTGCCGCCCAGAAATCTTTTCCACCCAAATCTAACCATAAATCCAAAAAGGACCGCCCCTATTGCACTCATTGCAAAATTACTAGCCACTCTATGGAAAACTGTTTCAAGCTTGGTAATGCCATTGCCCAACTGTGCTCTCATTGTAACCTCACTGGCCACTCTATCGAAAAGTGCTACAAATTGATTAGCTATCCTCCCGAGCACAAATTCCACACCAAGCAGAATTCCCTTTCTGTCCCACTTGCAAATCAAGCTTCCCTATCTGTTGACCATAACTTGGAAGTCTCCAGTGATGACCGGATCGGTTTGACCAAGCTTCAATATCAGTAGCTGGTGTCTCTGCCTCAACCTCAAGATCCTTCAACAATAGCTTCTATTCTTCGTTCGGACATCACCTCCAAACCTCCCAATTCTGCTCTCTCGGCATCTAAAATGTCTGGTATAGCATCATGCTTTTCCACACACACACACGCCACTCTCCAAAATTGTTCTTCACGTTGGATCTTGGACACAGGTGCTACAAACCATATGGTTTGTAGCACTACTTTTTTTACCACCATTTGTTCCGCTGTTGATTATTCTGTGAAGCTCCCAAATGGGAGTCTTGTTTCTGTTACACATATTGGCCATATTCAATTGACCGATACCATTCTTTTAAGGGATGTTCTCTGTGTTCCTTCTTTCTCTTTCAATTTAATTTCCGCAACCAAGTTAACACAATCTCTAACTTGTTGTTTGTTATTTTTCTCTAATTCTTGTTTCATACAGGACCTGCTTTCTTGGAAAACGATTGGGAAGGGTGAGCTTCAACATGGCTTATATCACCTCATCTGCTCCTCGATCTCACCTTCAGCCCTTGTTCAGTCACTTTCTGATTACACACACCATACTTCCCGTAGNACCTCAGGATCCTTCAACAGCAGCTTCTGTTCTTCGTTCGGACATCACCTCCAAACCTCCCAATTCTGCTCTCTCGGCCTCTAAAATGTCTGGTATAGCATCATGCTTTTCCACACACACACATGCCACTCTCCAAAATTGTTCTTCACATTGGATCTTGGACACAGGTGCTACAGACCATATGGTTTGTAGCACTACTTTTTTTACCACCATTTGTTCCGCTGTTGCTTATTCTGTGAAGCTCCCAAATGGGAGTCTTGTTTCTGTTACACATATTGGTCATATTCAATTGACCGATACCATTATTTTAAGGGATGTTCTCTGTGTTCCTTCTTTCTCTTTCAATTTAATTTCAGCAACCAAGTTAACACAATCTCTAACTTGTTGTTTGTTATTTTTCTCTAATTCTTGTTTCATACAGGACCTGCTTTCTTGGAAAACGATTGGGAAGGGTGAGCTTCAACATGGCTTATATCACCTCATCTGCTCCTCGGTCTCACCTTCAGCCCTTGTTCAATCACTTTCTGATCACACACACCATACTTCCCCTGTTTTACATACTTCCCCTAGTGCTTATACTATTACTCCATCTGACCTATGGCATTGTTGCCTCGGTCATTTATCTTTTCCTAGACTAAGGATGATTTCTGATCCCATTGTAAGCACACAGATTAAGTCAATGAATGAAATTCCTTGCAATGTTTGTCCACTTGCCAAATTTCATAAATTACCTTTTCCTAACAGCATGCATCAATCATCCAGCATTGTTGAACTTATTCACTGTGATTTATGGGGTCTTAGTCCCACCATTGCCCATGATGGTTCAAGATTTTTTTTAACCATTGTAGATGACTTTTCTCGATCCACTTGGTTGTATTTGCTTACTTCCAAAGCTCAAACCCGACCTTGAATTGAAGCTTTCTACAATTTAGTAGAAACTCAATTTGGCCTGAAAATTAAAACATTAAGAAGTGATAATGGTGCTGAGTTCGCTATGACAGATTTTTTTAATAACAAAGGCATATTCCACCATAAATCTTGTGTGCAAACCCCTCAACAAAATGGCATTGTTGAGAGGAAGCACCAACATTTGCTTAATGTGGCTAGAGCACTTCGGTTTCAATCAAATGTGCCTATTCAATACTGGAATGACTGCATTTTAACAGCCACTTATATCATCAACAGACTTCCTTCTCCTTTTTTAAACAACAAAACCCCTTTTGAACTCCTTTTCAACAAAAAACCTTCATATGCTCACTTGAGAAGTTTTGGTTCTTTATGTTTTGCTGCTACCCTTTCACATGCTAGAAAGAAATTTGATCCTAGAGGTCGTCGTTGTGTCTTTCTAGGCTATCCTTTTGGTATCAAAGGTTACAAGCTTTTAGACCTTTCCACTCACACTACATTCATTTCACGTGATGTTATTTTTCATGAAA